TTTGTTTCTTAACTTATTACTACACACTACTACCTAACGAAAATAAATTAGTTATCTAAGTAAGGTTCGTCTACTACTATATAATATAGAAGAAGAAAGAAAGTAAGTATATATATATATATATATATATATATATATATATATATATAGTATTGACTTGTATTCTTAGCTTAGATTGGTGCATTAGTTGTAAGTAGAATAATTATGAGATTTAAATTCACTAACAAGTATGCTTTAGGTTAAGGACAAATACCAAATATAATGAAATAAAAGTTAAATATAGTTGAATATATGTTTTAAAAGTTAACAAAAGAAAAAAGCATTTTCAGCTATTAGTATTTCACAAAACTTTTTTAGTTATTATTTTGTGAATATTGGTAAAAAATTATGTGTAATTATGTACCTTGTTCTTAAAAGGGAAAATAAAGCAAGAGAAAGCTATAGTGGAAAATAACCATGATTCAATCAGAAACTTCATTTAAAATAAGTTCTAGAAGCTATTGTGGAAAATGGTCATAATTCAGTTAAAAGATTCATTTTTAGTGGTCGTTGTGGAAAATGATCATAATTCAGTCAGAAGTGTCATTTAAGCGGGATTTTTTACAGTCATGAAAGTCATGGAATTTGAAAATGACTATTTCCAGGCCTGAAAATATCTTGGAAAATGAAAAACGATATATATGTTTTGAAAAGTCATGAAAAAAATTGCAAGTTTAATATACTTTGAACAGCACTGTATATTTTTCCTTTACTACCATTCTGTTTTTTATCTGTTTCTGGTTCCTAAGCTGCTTCTGCAATTTTTATTTTGAAACAAACATGGCTACAAAGGCACATAGGTCATTACTCATACGCTTTGTAAAGAGCAACAGATAAGTGGCAATGCACTTAATTGTTAGCAGTTTTATAGTTTAACAATTAGTTTAAAATGTTATGGAAGTGTACATTTAACTATCTATGGTTAATGGTTTATAAATACTGTGAATGACTAGAAAAGTTTTGGACAAGACTCAAGTTAACTGTAAACCATGTGTAAGAAGTGGCATTGATAAGACATACTAAGTGGAGAAAACACGGTAAACTGGGTACATTCAGATGCAGCTGAGAAAGAAATTCATGATTTTTTTGCATTATCTTCCAAATTTAAATCTAGTTGGACAGCACTGATAGTTAGAGATAGAAGACTTTGTCTTTGTTATGGCAAATAATGACATTTTTGACAGCACTTGGCTCTCAAAGTCATTGATTCTCACTATTCTTATAATCCTGTGAAAATATTAGCAACCTTTATGAGCTGTTGTTCCCAGATAATGATATTGTCAGAAAGTTTTCATGCTGTGAGAGAAAGTGTACTTGCTTGTTTACTTTTGGCCTTGTGCCACATTTTCACTGACAGCTGTTCCTCGATCTTCAACTTTGCCCATCGAAACATTGGCCTCGCTTGCTCCAGTCTTTTATACCCCATTTAAATGCCCTTGGCAATGCTTGTGTCATGATATTCTCCACCTACATCAATGCACTCTTTATTCTGGTGCTATATATGATCACCTCACTTAGATAATGTAATCACTTTTTCTCGACAAAACGTTTGGTCACGATTTTCTCTGATGCGATGCTGTTCTTGGTTACGTTATTGATTGCAATTTTGGCATCACCTTGTGTATTTCCATATAATTATAGTTTCTTTACCAAAAACAAATTGACACTTGGTTTTCGAACATAAATTCCTGTGTTACTGTTGCCAGCACAGAGGCTAATCAGCCCTCCCTCTGTTATCTAGCATTTGATTTGTTGTGAGAAGAAGACATATATTCGATTCTGAGGCTGCTTTTCTTGATGATCCAAGACATTCTGAGGAGAATTTGAACTCGGTTTTTCTGGTGCCTTCCTTTACTAGGTTGGCTTCTCACAAGGCCAATTTGGATCAGCCACCTCTTGCTCCTTTTCTTCAATTAGTCACTCAGGTTTGTGGGGTTTTGGAGCTTTCCCCAGTTGCCTTTGAGTCTACTCCTTCCTTGATGGTGGAAAATTTGGGGGGTGACAGTTTAGTTTTCCTCCTTCATCTGATATTGCTGTTCATGCTGGGAGGTTTACCACTCAGTTACATGAGGGGATAGATATTCCTTGTCCCCCACGTTGGTCGGAACAGCCTGCCTTTGCTTATCATCGCCAGGAGGACATCTGTTTATATTCACAAAGGTTGGATTCCTTTTTGAACATGTGGGATTCCAGACTAGAGCCTGTGATCAGTTTGAACAGATCACAGTTTTCTCGCATTTGTCTGACCCTCACTACTGTCCTGAGATATTTATCGTCTTTCCAACATCAATTTGTAGACGAATTGGATCATTTGCTGACTTCCACAATGATCAGATTGTCAGCTTCTTCTCTCTTATTGGTTTCCTGGCTTGTGCATTATTGGGACTTATTGGGTAGAGATACCTTGTTGGAGTGTGTTCGTCTACTTGCTGATACACTCTGTTAGTTACAGGAGGCTTCTTTTATCCATCCATTGTTGTTTGCAGGTGTTCCAGAGGTGTTGGAATCAAGGATTGATGTTGCCCATTTACATTCTTCATTGTCATAGTTGGTCTATCGACTTTCTTAGGTTCCAGCTGGTAGTCTGGGCGTGTTTACTCATTCCGTGTCTCGACCTCCGACTTTAGTTCTTTGATCTATTGGTACTCACAATAGATTTTGTCCTTATCCTTGTGGCTCCTCCTCTTGGGTGGACTGGCCCCAAGAACATTGATGACTGTCCTATGGCGATAGGGTCTGTGGGTTACATCATTTTCCTTCACTACATATCCATGGGTCCTCCAGGTTCTGGCAATGGGGTTGATCATTCAGTTCATATCTCCACCTCCTTTATCCTCCCGATCTGTGGCATTTCTGCCTCCAACAGATTTGCAGAATGTGGCTCTTCGTTCTAGAGCTGTCAGGGACTCGTTGATCAAAGGGGTGGTAGAGAGAGTTGATTCCATTCTTCCGGGATTTTATTCCTGTCTCTATGTTGTTCTCTAAAAGATTTGAGATTGGCGTCCAATTATCTACCTTTCTCGTCTCAACCAATTCTTGGATCCTACTTGATTCACCATAGAGTCCTTTCTCAGCCTACAATGGTATTTTTCACCAGGTCTCTGGATGATGAAGTTCGATGTTGCCGACGCATACCTTCACATTCCCATAGCCAAGTCATCCCGACAATTTCTACATTTTGTGCACAGTGGTCTGGTTCTGCAGTTCAGGGCTCTGCTCTTTGACCTAGCATCTGCACCATATGTTTTCTGCAGAGCAGTACAAGCTTTTTCTTGTCACCTTCATCCTTTGTGCCTGTGCACACAACATTACATGGATGACTGGTTACTTTTAGCACCATCTTGTTCAGATGGCAGAACAGCACACCCAGATTCTCCCTTTGGAGGCCACCAAGGCTGGGTTTCTTATCAGAACAGAGAAATCCATTCTATTGCCAACTCCATCCATTGTCCATTTGGTGGTCTTTTTCAACATGTACTTGAGTCGGGCTCAGCTGACTCCCATCTGGCTCAGGCTATGGAGTTAGCAGTCAGACTATTACTCATGTCTCCTATTGCATGAATGGCTCTCTCTCTCTTTTGGGGATGTGGGCATCCCTCATATCTCTCATTCCTTTGGGATGGGCACACATGCAGTCCCTTCAATGGTCAGTGCACAACCAGTGGGACATGACCTCTGATCCAATAAATCATCCAATCTCCTTACTCAGGAGCAACATATCAGATCTTGAGTGGTAGTTGGATCGGAACCACACTACTGTCGTTGTTCCTCTTCTGCCCCTCGTCCCGAAGTTCATCTTTTTCACAGATGCCTCACTTCAGGGATGGGAGGCATATATCAATGGTCAGGAATTCCAGGGCCTATGAACGGAAGACGAATCTTCCTTCCACATCAACATTTTAGAACTCCTTGCTGTTCAACAGGCACTGGTTCATGGTCTGCCTCTTTTGAAATGGAAAATAGTCATGATTCATTTCAACAATACCACAGTGATGTCTTACATTTCTCGTCAAGGGGGTACACATTCTCAGGACCTTTGTTTTCAGGCTTTGGATGTTCTCTACTGGGCTCACTCCCATCTTATCAGCCTTCTAGTCTGCCATGTTCTGGGGGTGATGAATTTAATAGCAGATCATCTGTCTTGGCCCAACCGCATTCTGCCAACTGAATAGATGCTACATCAAAAGGTCTCCCTGTGGATTTGCTCGCGGTTCGAGTCTCCAATGATTGATGAATTTGCCACTTATTGGAACTCTGAACTACAAGCTTTTTGGTCCCCATTACCTCAACCTTGGGCTTTGGCTATAGATGCAATCAGTCAGGACTGGACAGGTTTGCACCTATATACCTTCCCTCGTGATTTGTCTGTTGCCTAGAGTTCTGGCTATGGTTCAATCCACTTCTTGTCGAGTGCTGTTGGTTGCCCTATATGGGCAAGCACAACCATGGTTTCTTCTTCTTCTGTATCTTCAAGAGGGTCCA